AAAAAAGACTCACACTTCATGTTTTTCAACAATTATGCTTTTCTTGTTTTTTTAAAATTACACATTTTTATCAATACCAATAAGATATAAGCAAACCAATTTTGTAAACTTAAAACTAGAAAGAAGTGAAAAAGAATGAAATATAAATATAGTGTTCTTCTTGATTTTTACTAATTCATCGATCTATTGAAAGTGTAATTGTGAGAAAAGTTGAAGTTTGAGTCATTTTTTTAATAAAAGTGAAAGTATGGGAGAGATTTGTGAATTTCATGATAGTTGAGGATATATTTAGCTAATAATCCTTTGAAAATTAGTTCAGTGTTATGGGCTTGAGGTGTTTTATGTATTTGATTTTGACAAAAATTCTTATTCTCATAATATTTGTTTTTGTCTTATACATAAAAAAAATTTAAACAATTTTGACCCCACCTGAATGTCAATCCTAGATCCGCCCTGATGATAGAGACTACAAATGTCTATATATCATAAGATTCATCTTTACTTAACACGCGTATCTAAATGCAAATTAAACCGATGCTTACATACAAATGAAGTATTATATATTTGATCATATCTAAGTTAAGGATTATCCATTTGAGTCATTTTTATGTCATTGGTAAGATATGTTTCGATTGTACAACTTCTATAGAGAGTAAAGTTCCCAAACATGAAAGGAATCGTCTTTTTTTACAAACGAAGTGCTAGTTTAAATATATCTAAAGTATATAATTACCCAGTTGAACCTTTTTATGTATTCAAAGAAGTCCTAAAACTTTATAGACAATGGGTAATTCATATTTTTGTCTGTATTTGACCAAAATATCCAAAAACAAAGCAATAGAGTAACAAAGACATTTAGTGGTACACTTGATCATATAGAAATTTACTGTCACCCACTTGAACCCTTTTTTTTATGTCATTGGAATTCAAAACTGAAGTTCTACAATATACTTCGTAATATTTATAGAGACTACACATTCTCCAAATTGTAAAGGATTCATGCATCCTCATTTTGCCAAATTATCTTTATTTTGCCAAAATATCTAACAATTACGTTGTAGAGTTAAGTTTACATCTAGTTGTATATTTGATCAAATTTAAAATTTGGACAATCTATTTAATCCTTTCTTATTTAGTCAGAAATTAATTTTCTACAATATTTATAGACTAAAATTTCCAAAATATGAAGGATTTCTTCTTTATATTTGACAAAAAACATCCAAAATCAATTGTGATGATTCTATACGGACGAAGTGTTAGAATTTAAAACTTTTATATAGATCATAGTTTACAATTTAAAAGGATTCATTCTGTACTCGACCACTCGACCACTCGACCAGATTATGATCTAAAATAAACACCGTGAAGTCAAAATGACATTAAATTGTGTGTGTGTGAGAGAGATTATTCATTTGAACCATTTTATGTCATTGAAAAACTAAATTCAAGGTACAAATGTTTATATAGATTAAAGTTCTCATACTGTAAAGTTAATCCTATTGATTCATACCGTAAAAGTTTTAGACTTGTTAAATTCCCACACCGGAAACTTGTGAAGGAATAAGGTGTTATATTAATGAATGGGTTACTCCTCCTATCAGGTTGACCTTTTAGGATAGAACCTCAGGTCTTAACATGGTATCAGAGTCTAATCGATCCATGGTGTGGGCCTTTATGAAAAATTGACGACACGATTATAAAAAAATGACAATGACGAATTGATGAAAAAATGAATGACGGTGTGTCTGGTCGTGAAGGAATAAAATGTTATACTAAGATCTGAGCTACTCCTCCTATCAGGTTCACCTTTTAGGATGGAACATCAGATCTTAACAAGACTTTATCATATAAAGTCTATAATTATCCATGTGAGCCCGTTTATGCCATTGGAAATATTAATGGAAGTAAGACGATTCTTTGGGGCTATGATTTCAAATATTTGAATGAGACGACATTGCACAATGAACGTCTCTCATGTAATTAAAATGCAAGTTCAAGCTCTAGATATTAAGAGACTATTTCCTAATAACATAGTTTATCTTTTGTACAAAAAATCTTACAAAGGAGTTCATTCCGTACACATGAAATGTTATATTTGACCATTTCCAAGTTAAGGATATACGTAGTATAACCTAGTATGTGTTCAATGTTATTAAAAAGCAAGTTCGACTTCATCTATGGGAGTGTTTTGATCTATATAATTCTTATAATTGTTCTTGCTTCTTTAGGGAGCAAATACAAATAGATTTTGAAGTCTTTGAGTGAAAGTGCAAAAATACTTCTAAGTACTTCAAATTGCTCTTAAATTCGACTTTTTAGAAATTGACGGGAGCCAACTTCTGAAAAATTAATTCTGATCCTGTTTTAATGTTAAAAAGAAGCAGAAACAAAATTAATTAAACATCTCTTGCTCCGTATCTTTTAAGACTACAATTTCCTAATTTAAAAGGGTTCGTCCTTACTACAAAAATATCTATAGTTACGAATGAAGTGGTTTAATTATAATATAAAGTATTGTAGTTTGAAGTTCCTAAATGGTTTTCAGTAAGAACGTGCTGAGTACGAGAAAGAAAATTATACTGTTGGATCGACCCACCGTGTGCATGGTGTGTCGATCCACTATTAGTTATTTGAACGTACTTTTACTTCTCTCGAACATCTCACCTCATTTTCCTTTGCTTTTTCTTCTTTTTTTACATTTCTTTTCTTCAATTCTTTTCTTCTTCTCCATTATAATATTAAAAATTAATTGTAATTTTACTTTTCGTTATATTCAACTTAAATTATAACTCAATCTATTTTCTTTTATTCAATTCACAACAAAAAAAATTGTTAGTTTAAATAAATAATTATATTGCATTTCATATTCATGCACTTCTTTTATTTTTGTAATCATTTTTATATTCATACACTTTTTTGTAATACATTTTTATATTATACACTTTTTTCTATAAATATAGTAGTATATTTTATCACTTTTATAGATTTGTTATAAGTTTTTGAGACACTGGGTTTGTTTATTTCGATTCATGAAGTTACATTAGATTGTATATGAAGTTGTCTTCTTGTGCGCAAGTTACATCTTCTTATGCACGAGCTACGTCTACTTATACGCGAATTACTATTCTCATGCGCAAGTTACATTTTCATATGTGCATGTTACATTTGGACATGTTAAACTTGCCTTAACATGTCCAAATGTAATTAACTAATTACATTTGGACTGATTAAATTACAACTGAATTAATTAACTTTTTTTCTTTATCAATTTGTTACAAAATTTTATTAATCCACATAAAGTAAGTATATTGTATTTCATAATTATACACTTTTTTACTTCTTTTTTTCTTCAACTGAAATTACAACCAAATTTACTTTTTCTATAATTTTCTTTATATTTATACACTTTTTTAATATATTTTTCATATTCACACTTTTTTCTATAATATATTTCTTATCGCTTTTATATGTTTTTAGTGTTTTTAAAACATTAAGTTTGTTTATTTCAATTTAAATTTGATAGATCATGATATTACATTTTTCATGTGTGTGGTTTAAATTTCCATGTGTAAGTTATGTTTATAAAAAATTTCTGGAGTTACATTTGATATTTATAGAATTACATCTTCTTATGTGCGATTTACATCCTCTTGTGTGCGAGTTACATCTTCTCATGCGCGAATTAAATTTGGATTTGTCTCAACAAGTTACATTTTGCATACACCTAATATACATTTTCCATCAAACCGAGTTACATCACAAAATAAACTCATAAAAAAAATAATGAATCCAAATTCAAAAAAAAATAATGAATCCAAATTCAAAAAAAAAATAATGAATACAAAATAAACTCATGTTATTGAAACAAAATAATGAATCACTCATTTCACCATTTCAAAATTCAATCCAAATTCAAGAAACTTACAATTGATAAGTAAACTTACAATTCTTGCTTAGAAACTAAATTGAATTGAAAGAAATTGAAGAAAAGTAAAGTTTATGCATTCCTCGGCTCTCCATTGTTAAGACCTGAGGTTCCATCCTAAAAGGTCAATCTGATAGGAGGAGTAGTCCATATCTTAATATATCACTTTGTTGATTCAAGTCGTCATTTTTCATAAGGGGGACCACACCATAATTATAGATGGATTTGACTCTGATACCATGTTAAAACCTGGGGTTCCATTCTAAAAGGTCAACTTGATAGGAGGAGTAGTTCATATTTTAATATACCACTTTGTTGATTCAAACTTTTCCGTGTGGTATTCTAACATCCATTCTCGTTCCCTACGACTGCTAATTAATGAATCGAACAACAAAAACTGCTACCGGTCTTCTTGAGTGCTGCTGCGGCTAAGTAAAGAGAGGAAATACGAACTAGCTAGTGCTCCTACGACTGCTTAGTGTTTACTCCAGGAAGTTAAAGAAAAACTCATCTGATTTTTTCCTTTTTGGGCAGCTTGTAAACCAACAATTTGCTGCAGTTTTTTTCTTTTAAGGATTCATTATTTAATAACGTAAACGATTTATTTTTTAAAAATATTTTTGTGAGCAATTAGACTTTTCTTTCCATTGTTTACATTGAAATCAATGTTTTGTTTCATATACTTCGTATTAGACAAGTTAAATTTTGACTTATCTGCAGTTACATTTCTTATTAGCGTGAGTTATATTTCTTTTAACGCGCATTACATCATTCTGCTATTGAGATAGTGAAAAAAAAATTATTATTCCGTGAACAATAATACGCATATTTGATTGTGGGAGCAGCATCTTCTCCCACGATATAGCAACTCATTTGCATGTTTTTATCCTAGTGTTATCTAGAGATTTTGTATTCGGCAGTTACTAAGACATTTTTGTTAATTTATTCATAAATTATGAATATAATTTTGTTATCCATATTAGCTAGAGCTAATACAATTAGGCCAGAATGGACTGACTTAGGTCCCATGATAATTTTAACCAATCGGTTTTGATCAAATATTTAAAGAATAGGACCCCTTATAAGATAATTTTATTTATTTTAACCCCAAAAAAGAATGGACGATAACAAAAACAACATATTCCTTAAATTATGATGACACAAAAATAAATTACAGTCATCCTTCTCTTTTCGTCACAACATATGCCTTAAATTAAGATGGCCAAGTTTGATTTTTTTAGAGTTAATCAAGGATATCGACATCTCCAGGCTCTCATTCGTCTTCTTCCTCTTCCTTGCATCATCTCTGTGATTCTCACATGAAACCCGCTTCCCAATTCCTCCCCTGCAAACTCCCCCACTCTTCGTACAAGGAGACTTCCGCCGCGCAGAAAGCTTAAATCCTACTTTAGTTCTATTTGTGGCCAATAATCCGTTTCCTTTTTCCCTCTGTTTAACGGTGTTGTTGTTTTCCGATTGCCTCTCCGATTCCGATTCAATTCTCGGACCGAATCCCAATTTCTCCTCCCCCTTCACATCCTTCTCGATTTCCGGCATTGATGGTAACCACCTCGGAACATGCCTAAACCTACCTTCGTTATACTCGCGGAGGAGGACGCCGCGTTTGGGCTGTTTCGTTTTTCTTCCTGACAATGCCTTCCTCGGAGGCAGCGGCTGCGCGAACGGCGTCTCCTCCGTGTACATTACGAACCTTTCGAGCTCTCTGATCACGGGAGAATTCAAAACCGTATTTCTCGCTGTACTCGACGCGCCGGCGAATCCTTGCACTGAACCTAACTCCTCCAGCGCCGCCGTGACATCGAGGAGGTTCGATTCCGTACGGCCTTTGGAGTTGGCGGATGATGCGGCGGATTTAGCGATTGCTTTGAGGTAAAGACCTGCGATGTCCGTCAGAACTGCCAGCGCTGAGGCTTCCGCCGCCGCGTAACCCGCCGATTCGCATATCTGCGCCACCGCTATTTTGGAGATCGACGACGCATAATTCGATTCCGATCGAGGTTGCGCCGCCGTTGATGAGCTATCATCCCTTGATATCATGAGGAAGGAGATAACAGAATTCCGAACGACGAAGATGATAAATACGGAGCCCTAGAGGTGCCTGCGGTAATAAGTTTTGAATTGCAGTAATTCACTTTGTTGATTAAAAATTACTGCAGTACTTTTTTTATTAAATCTCCCGCAAGTAAAAATGCTTCCAATGGGCCTGCGTAGAGCGGTTTCGAACTCGAATCAGTTGCTAAAAGTAAACGATGACTTCCATTGGTCCAGTATCGTTTTCCTTTAATAGAGTACATCGGCACTTTATATTTGAAATTTGGGAAATTGCCCAAAATAGAATAAAATGATATCTGTAATTCCAAAATAGGATTAATTTTTCTTCTTCCCGAAATAGAAGTTATTACTTTCATATATGAAAAATAATGTCATGATTGAAAAATACCGTCATTAATTATAATAAATATTGTCATGGTAATGCACTGTAATGTAACTATTTGACAGTCACGTCTACAAGATGATAGTAAATACTGTCATGTTAGTCCCATTTCGGAAATAAAAACATAGTAGTCCTATTTTGGAATTTCAAACTCCATTTACTCCTATTTTGGGAAATCTCCCTTTATTAATTCCTTCTTTTCATGGTTGTACGTCTATATTTTGACAATATTTTTATGAATAATTATGATTAAACCTTAAACAATTCAAACAATCCAATGGAAAAATAAAAAAAATGGTGTTCCCTTTCTAGACTTGTATTTTTGAAAAACAACCGAAAGATGTAAATAAATTATAATAATGAGACTTTAATTTTAGCATTTGGATCAACCTAAGACAAAATTTAAATCTACGAAATCTCAGCAATCCGCTATTCATATTTTTTTAAAACTATATATATGCAATATTGATTTCATATGAATGATTTTAAAAACATGAGATTTGATATTGTTTGAATAAAAATCGAAATACAAATAAAAGTTATAATCTCATTAAAAAGGAGTTTTTTTGCTTCGTCACTTGACCCTACATGGCCACTCCTTTTCTTTCGGCGGTCTCCTCTTCTACATTCGTGTCAATAGAAATTTCAGGGTAACTTCCCCATCCAAAAGGGGTTATATACCCACTATCCCCTCTTTCAATATCATCATTGTAGTGCACCTGTTCTTATATAGTTTCAACATTAGAATACACTATTCACGTGCTCTATTTTGTTTGTTTTAATTTATGAATAGATTATGATTTTGTAATTAAATTCTTCCCACTTTAAATCTTCAATTAAAGTTGTGTGTTAACAAACATGAAAATGAAAGCGTTGCAACTAAAAAAGAACGAAGAAAATTATGAGATATTTGGATGAATATAATATATCTATTTTTTCACCCTTGCAAATGGACTTAGAAGCAAGTGTGAAATTCTAAAAATAGTTGTAATACTACTCCGTATTAAGTACGGAATATTTTTTAATTTCCTCTCAAATCAAACCATATCAATAAAGGGAGCTAAAGTTACATTTTTCATTCACCAATCTATATTCACTAGAAAACAGTGAAATATTGACAAATATTATTGATATCTATTTAGATGTGCAAAAATAATCAAAGTGTCAAACCATTTAGAGTTTAGATGTGGGCACACTTCTGAGGCATGACCAAAGAAGCTTGTGCACAAGGCCATATTAGATAGATCATCCGAAAACAATCTCTATGTGCTTTAGTACAGCGATAAGACTGCGTACATCCGACCCCCCTTACTCCACCATAGGTGGAAGCCTTTGCGGCACTGGGGTGATGATAATGATGATGATGATGTGTGTGTATTTATAATTTATTTGATCCCTGAAAACCTTAACTCTACCCTCATCAACCACATGTTCTATCAATGCTCGATAGTCAAGCTGGTATGATATTTTTTTATGGGCTCACTTAGAATTCTCATTCCTAACTTCCGGTGCTCCCTAAAAGACACATTTGTTTCTCCTAGTGGTTAGAACAAATGATTATGGATGAAATGTATTTATTATGTAATTCTATTAAAGATAGGATTATAAAGCTACCATATCCTCTATTAATAGGGGTTGATCGCAATTGGTATATGAGACAGGATGATATATCAGCAGAAGAACAAACTGTTTATGCTAATCTCGTTATAAGGTTCCATCCCTAACATTAGGAATTCCTTAAGATGTCTTCCATCTAGACTTAGAACATAAGTGATTCAATATTATGTGGTGGAATCATCTCCACGCTTCAATGTTATGTATGTATTTCGCTCTTGATTTTTTTTCTCGCTTATTAGGTGCAGAATAAAGTAATACCTTTGCGAGAACAAGGTAGAAAATGGCATTTGAGTATAATTGTATGTGAATGGAAACCTTACATGTAGCACGACATCCCATGTATAAATAAGGATGTTGGTTGGTTTTAACGATGGTCGCTTCTTTTCTGGTTTGTTCTATTGCATTGATAAGCGAGGAAACATCATTCTTCAAGATGTCGTTGAATAACAAAGCACTTGACACTCTTCTCCTTTCTAAATGGAACAACGGTGTTTGGGTCTCATTCGCATACCCTTCTCTTGTTGGACTTCATGTCATGTTGATTGCTCTATTGAAGAACAACTCTCTCATGTCTTTCTATGAGCTTAATTCAAAGTCATGATGCATATAACTTTTGAGATATATCTTCATGTCACATTTTCCCTCATTTTCCCTCATTTTACATTTTTCATTTTACTTTAACCTATTTCCCATTATTGTATGTGTGCGTTTTCCCTCTCAAATGCTCAATGTTTACCAATACATTATTCTATTATTCTAATGTAGAGAATGTCATATTTCTTTGAATGTTTTCCTTATGATGCCTTCTGCTAGCATCAAAGATGGGAGTTGGATAACTTTAAGAAGGATAATCTAGGGGAGTCGTAATGTGTATAGACAACTAAAGAACGCGAAACAATATTTAATTATTTGATTAAGTTGTGGTTGCTCCACTAAAGTCCAAATAAGAAAACAAACGGGGGTTGCTCCCATGCCATGGAGTTATGACTCCCTAAGTGGATAAGTCACATACTCCCATATGAGTACATGACTCACATCCCTTTGTAATGGGTCTATATTTTCCTGATTAAACTAATACTTTATAGAATGTACTTTACTTCGTTGGTTAATGATGATGGCGCATCAATGTACATTGTTGGTGAGGTGTAAAAGCCAAAATTAAAATATTTATTTAGCATGGATGAAGTTTGAACAAGGAAAATTTCAGGTGTGCACTTTTTGTGCACACCACTTTATTTTGCCTGTGTATGTACACAAAAACTTATATTTCTAATAATATTATGTTATCAAGTACTAACCATTTCAGACTTCACTCCTTAACTATCTTGATAACTTGGACTTTGACTTTTAGGAAGTAAGTTGCTTTGACTTTAACAAGTAACAACATTAGTCTGATATGTCCCGACTTAAAGTTTATATTAAAAAATGGTGCATGTTTTTGGATAATAGTTCAATAAGGTATTTGAAGTATATTCTTAGAAGTACTCTAAGTAGATATATAATAAATGGAAAATGGTCAAATAAGGCCTTTTACTATTATGAATTTGCCACATAAGACCATGTATTAAATAAAGTGTCATGAATATATGGCTACTTGTAAAAAACAACCGGATGAGTCCCAATGACTTACAAACAACTTCGTATTCCTTACTGCTTATGTGTTGTTGTTTTTGCCAAACTTAGCTATTTTTCCACATTAGCCTCCAAGTTATGGTCACTGTCAATCTTGAATTGTACCAAATCTAGGCATGCCATTAAAAGGGTTCCATCCTTACGATTCACCTAGGTTTCAATGAAAGATGATTGCAACAATGGGGGGGTGAAAATTCAGGGTGATTTATTCATTTCATTTCTTGGCTTGTGATTTTTTTTATTTGATATGCGAGCACTAATATCATAGAGCAAGGTATTGTACTCTCTTGATTTTGAAATCTTGAGCATTGTAATTTGGTTGAAAGCAAGATCTTCGTTATACTCTTTATTATGTTCGAAGTTTGGAAATTACATTTGATAAGTTAGGGCAAGTTGAATACCTTTAAATTCCAAAGTTTTTTTTAAATATTTTGATTCTTTGTGGTACTGAATATATAACGCCAGATTGGGACATCAAATGGGTGCTACATTTCTTGATAAAAAGTAACTACATCTATTCCATTGTTTTGTTTTTCAAAATGTTTCTCGAAGCCGAACCGAGAAAGTTGATGCCTGTAGCAAAGGCTGGTTTGGAGCATTATGACACCCATCATTGGTGCAAGGCTAACTTCAGAACCAAAGTGAAATGTGGTATCCTGGACAACGACCTATCAGAGGCATTTAACAACCTTGCAATTTTTTACAAAGGTGAGGATTCTGAGCATTATGTGTATTCTTGTTATTCAAAGGAGTTGTATGAGAGAATATATTCACATCATCTTCACCGAATAGATGGGAGATGTTGTGGAGTAGGACACAGAACAATGATATTGCACCTCCAATTTGAAAGAAAATGTCTGGAAGAGTCAAAAAAAGGAGAATATGTCAAGCTAATGAAGTGCCAACATCTAAAAAGGGAAGGACAATAGTACAACACTCTCAAGAAAAAGGCGGACTGATGTGTTATGTATGTAAGGTTGTAGAACATAATAAATCAAAGTGCATGAAAAGGCCCTAGCTACAGAAACGATGTCCACAGAACCATCGGCCACAAGTTCAAACAGAAGAACAAGAGGCAAACAACCTTCTGCAAAACCGTGAAACGGAATAAAATCTAACTTGAAGCACCAACAAGTCAACATGATGTAGCAGAGAGTGGGCTATGACATGTTTTAGGCTCGGTGTATTTTGCAACTGAAGCTATATGCTTATGTTTTAGACTATTTTTTTGCGGTTTAAACTTTATGTTTATGTTAAGACTTAGTCTGCTTTGCATTTGAAGCTTTACGCTTAAGTTTGCCACCAGAAACCATCCCAACTACTTTATGTTTAAACTCACTGTATTTTGAGGTCTACACTTCAAGTATCTGGTTCTACTAGTTAAACTTTATGTGTATTATTGTCATGTGTGTTTGATGAGAATGACATTTAACACTATAATTATACTAGGAGTTGTAAACCATAGTTTTTCTTACAACTACATTGTTGCCACCCCCCAAGATTTTTCGTTGCAACAGGAATTGACAGTTGCAACACCTCAGATTGAACAGAAGGAATGGTTGTATGCTTGCAGCTGAGCAGTCAATTGAGGCTTATAGTTGCGCTTAGGGCGGGGATGCACTACAACAGAGCCGAGAAGTCATACGAATTTCAACATCTATTTAAATGAGGAGGCTGTAGAAGGGTGATGTATCAAATGGAGCTGAGATATAAAAAAATCTTGTCAATTGTTTCAATTGTATCTTCTTCATTTATAATGAGCTATACTTATTTTCTGGAAACCATGAGAATGACTGGGAAATTAGATGCATCGCCTTCTTTTTATACCAAAAATGTCACCTTCCATGATCTAAGCTTCAAGCTTATACAAATACGACTTCCAAGATACATAAATAAAATTTCACAAATAAAACTACAAACGTATATAAACGAGGCTTTAAACATCATCAAATTCACACATCCAAATTTAAGAAGATAATAGACATATTGTCTTACACATTGCGGCAAATTCTGGACTACCAACTACAATTAACATAGCCATCATAGTACCACCACAACCCTAATGAACTACCATTGCCCTCATAAACTACACCTAGCAGACTATCATTTACTTCCTTCTAGTACACGTTTCATGAGAGCTGCTGCTACCACAACTAACATTACTCTATTTTCTCATTTCTGCACTTTCAACAATTTCACGATGAAGAGATTTTATTTCCTCTCTCAACTGAACAAGCAAATCTTTGACCTCCTAGAAGCCTAATTAGGAAATCTTTGTTGTTGTTTTCACTTTCTTTTTTCCAAATAAAGAATCCACATCCTCCTTCCTACATCAGATTATAAAAATAAAACATCAAAACATAATCAGTAAATTATCCTCAAATCAATTAGTTTAAGAAAAATAACTACTTCCCTTAGTAATATCTCAAATTTGGACAATATAATTGCCCCCACCCCCAACGAATAAAAAACCTATAATCGATTGAGATTTACTTACTTTCCATCGTTGACGCCCATAGAACTGCCAACCTTTGTCTCTTGAATCATATAACGGAGATTTTAACCCACAGATAAGTGTTAGAACTTTTCTATTTGTACTACATTTTTTACAAAAATGTATCTTTCATATACCAATATTGCATATATAATTTTTTAAAAAAAATCAACCCATGGAGGTTTTTAAGATCAAAACTATTCATAAGTAGATCCAAGTGCTAAAATTAAGATCTCATAGTTAAAATACTTTTTGTATCTTTTAATTGTTTTTTCAAAACTAGGTTTGAAGTAACTATTAAAAAAACTCATAGTATGGCTTTGGAGAGGGCAAAGTGGAGGGCGCACATTCGTGTGGACGATTGATCTCTTTTTTCCTCTTTTTTTCTTTTATCGTTATCTTATTTGTCTTTTTATGTTCTTACGTTATTTTTATCTTCTAGCTTTTTTATTCTCTTTTATCTTTTATCTTTCTTATATTCTTATGCTATTGTTATCTTATATTTATTTATCTTTATCTTATTCGTTTTATCCTTTTTTCTTCTTGTGTGTCTTCTCTTTTTGACATCTATATCATGGATCGTTTCGTGTTAGCCGACCCCAAAATCTTTTGGTATTATGGCTTAGATGTTATTGTTGTTGCATTGGAATATTTGACTTTTTAAATTACAATTATTCACAAAAAATTAATGATTAATAATAAAAATAAAATTTTAATTAAAAACTTTTTTGAGTGAATATATTGACGGAGTGTATAAGTGGGTATAAGGAGTGAGTATAAATGTACAACAAGGTTCTTACTTTTGTAGACTCTACTCGGCTACACCCAAAGAAGACAGGTCCCAAAAAGATATCACAAAATTTTAACTTCGAAATACTATCTCCATCCCAAACTAATTTGCAAATTTGACTTTTTTTTATCAAACAGTTTCATTTTAATTGCTTAATTAGGATGTCAATTTTTAATTATATTCTAATTTGGATTATCAAAAAAATTATATTCTAATTTGGAGTTTGAAACTTTGAAGAGGGTTATTATTAAAAAGTTTGGTGAAACTTTGTAGTTTCTGAATATTTAAATTTTAATTATTAAAAATTGAGTTAATTATCAATATGGAGGGTTGACTTTTATTATTGGTTGACAAAAAAATATTGACTTTTCAAAACAATTTGGGACGGAGATAGTACTAATTAAACTGCAGGACATCTTATGGATGGAAGTTTATCGGAAATGGTAAAACAGCTCTAACAAAAGTTATTGGAAAAGATAAACGCACTTGGAACAAAAAGAACACTGAATTTGCACGAATGAAACATTCAAGCCTTTAAAGTTTAAACCAGGCTTGGGCCTAATTTAAAAAGGTGCATAATACATTGAGCTAATTTGAACATTATTATCTACATAAAGTCGCACTCGCATAGCTTGTTTGCCCCAGGACATGCTTAAACCATTGGTCAAAGTTTAATCAATGTGATATTACAACTGGTCCCATATAAACAAGAAATGATTAGAATAATAAGTTTTGATTAGGTCTGGTCCCATATAAAATATTGGGCATGTCTGCCGTAACATAGCTATATACTACCTCCATTCCGGTGGACTTTGCCAAGTGCAAAGTAGGTGAGAAATAAGAATAGTAAAAACTGTGTGGTTGAAATTTGTGCAAAAAGCAAGAAATGTGCAGAACCACAAATTAGTTGCTTTAATAGGAAAGTGACAAAGTTTTTTGGGACAAACAAAAAGGGAAAGTTGGTAAAGTCCAATGGGACGGAGGGATTATCAACTCTTTAAACCGGAGAAGGCCATGATAGTTGACGGCTCTCCACACCGCCGCCATATTCACCACCACTTGTAACTTCTTGCTCCTCACTTTTTTCATGCTTCACACTTCTAATGGCCAAATCGTTAAAACTTGTTTCGGTTCTCCAGGGTGGAGGAGTCACACAATCAGAATTCTTCCTTGATCCTCCTCTCTGGGAAAGATCCTTGCTAGGTGTGGCAAGGGACGATGAAGGACCAACCCTTAACGCTTGAAGTGTGGCAAATGACTCCCTCATTGCAGACATGGCTTCAAAGAACCTGGTGCATGAAGCCAGGGCGACGGGGATAGGGCGAAGCATTTCCTACATTTATTATTTGAATAAAAACAAATAACAATAATAAATATCCAGTATTGAACCATCCAACTGTACAATCACAACATTAACGGTTTGGACCTTAAAGGTGCTCCCAGATATCAGATATGACAAGTTCACACCACAGACCACCGACCCCCAAAAAGCCCTACAACCTAAACCCAAAGTAAAAACAGAAAAAGAAAACTCATTGAAAAGCAAACAATAGACACAGAGGCACACTGAAAATGTAGGATCGTCGGTCTTTTTTATGCGGGGGGTAGTGCAATATATAAATACTGACATTTTTATGAAGCCCTATAAGACTCCACTATAGAGGCATATGGACTTATGTGGTTATGCTCAGGTCACATAAACCCATATTAATGTTTCTCCATAGACTCTTACATGGGTCCATAAAATTCTGATATAATACTCCAAATACTATAGTTATGAAAGCAAAACCACAATAATAATTTGACATACTGCCCATATTGTTGGTGGGTCTCTAAAATTTTGGCTCCAATGAAAGTCGGCCGCAGATGCCGTTAATGCACTGTAGTCGCTAGCAGCCCTCATCAGTAACTCAGAAAATTGTTTCTGCACAGATTCTCACAGGTGTCAAAACAGCATCATGAAACAATGTATTTCCTTGGAGTTTTTAAACTATATTTTATGGAACAGGTGTCAGGTATCAAAACAGCATCACGAAACAATGCAATTCATTGGTGTTTTTATACTCTATTTATGTGTATTTGTATGTTCATTTTTATGTTGGGAGAATAGGAGAGTAACTGATTACGAAGTATTGGGGTAGGTGTTCCTGATTGTGGAGTCCCCAAGTAATGGTTAGTGTAAACCATATGAATATTAATATAAATTGAAATACTAAAAACCTGATTTTCCATACCAGACAAAAAAAAGTATAAACAAAATTTATCAGTCCTTCCACGCAAATGAATTTGGCTGGATTAAAAATAAGAGATTCATGACACAGATACAGAACAGGATGAGCAAAAGATACATGTCAAAAGTTATTGTTGTTGTAATTATTTCCAGTAATATTACTACTAGTATTATTATTAAAGGATGACTCTTATAAGTATGGAGTATAAGTTATGGAGTTACTTTACTAAAGAATGATATTTTTTCCAGATTCTTTGTGCTAGTACTATTGAAGTGAAAATGTGAAATATCAATGCATGATTGAGAGATAATAAGCTTATAATTCAATTTACCAAAAATGTACCTGATATTCTGCTTCCACTGGAATGCAATCTAATGAATATGGTTGTTGAAGCCGAGCAATAATGCGGTCCTACGTCCATAAAATATGATTTGAGCAGAGGATATAGCACCCCATGAAAAAAAGCAATACACTTGCACAATCAGGTAGTGGATGAAAAGACATGACTTCACACTTTGACTATAATCCTTCATATGAAAAATTCGCTCTCAAAGGTCATCAAGAAAGTAGAACAAAGCCATATCTGGTAACAGACCAAAAGATGTAAACAATCAACATTAATATAGTTATGTTTTGAAAGTCACAGCTTTGAAAAACAGGAATTGAAGTCTCTATCTGGTAATAAGACCAAAGGATATAAATGATCCCCGTTAATAAACTTATATTTTGAAACTCATTGCGATGAAGAATAGTAACTGAAATCTTTGAACATCTTAGAGATTAAAGGTTAGAACTTCACAACAATCATAAAAAAGAATAAATCATTCAAATGCTCAAAATTATGCGTCCACAGATCTGTCATTAGGACCCCATTCATACTTTCAATACTAAATACTGGAGAGCCACTGCTGTTTCATTCGCTGTCTGGGCCAGACTTCGGATCTTATTTTGGAGCTTTTGGCTGGTAGCTCAGAGAACATGAGAGATCAAACGGTAACTCTTGCTGATGAACGAATCTGTGAACTCGTCTAAAGTCTTCCAAAAGGAGCTGATTAATGGATGAGGGCTTGTAGGAATTCATAGAACAAAGATTTTAAAGAACTGCCTATCTTCCCGGTATCAATCAGATGAAGATATACAGATATTAGCAAGCTCGTCTGCTCTGGTTAGTAATTGCTCCCATGGTCATCTCCTTAGCATGATATTAAGGCTGCCTTGAATACTTGTTTTACTTTGTGTTCATGGGGAAATTCACAATTGTTTGCTTGATAATAGATAGCTCTGATCAGTTTCGAATGGGTAAAGGATTATACTGTATTTGTTAGACCTGTGTGGCCGATGAAAGGAGTTCCTATGAGTGATGACATATACATTTGATTTTGATGTAAATCGTGAGCTCTCTATTTTACCAATGTGGGTTTCACTGCATCTTTTGCCATTGATTCATTCAGATCGAGCAATGTTATACTCTATTTAATTGGATTTCCTCTGAAAACTGATGATCACACAGCCTCCCAAACTAGACCCAGCATGGCTAGAATTTGTGTTGAGATTGATGTATTGAAACCCGAAGTTGATGATGTGAGAGTAGAAGATGGCAACTATCCCATCTGCCAATAAATTGTATATGTGGAGGATCCTAGCCATGGTCCATGGAGTTGTGCTCTATTATTTTGTTATCATATGCATCATAAGAAGACGGAATGTTATTGGTATAAAGGATAATAATCTACAATTGGCTCCAAAATACAAAGTAGAAGGTGCTAGTTTGAAGAATAAGATGATGGGGTGAAGGGCAAAGAATAATGGATGGAGAAGAATAAGAAGGCATGATTAATTTGACATTCCAAAAGATGGGAAATCTAGAAGTGGTAGAATTATTGTAATAATCCTGACCCGAGCAACCCCTACTTTGAAGCTAAATGATGGCGATGCTAGCTTATATGGTCTGCAATTTTCAGATGCTATAGAGAAAGATTAATTTTGACTCTACAGAACAATGGAATTAAGTCCCCTCGGCAGATGTAACATAAAAGGTGTAAAGAATAGCTTCCCGGTCCATCAAAATCAAGAGCCAAGTGTGATTAAGGCAGGTGTAAGTGTGTAACTTCCTTGGGAATACATTTCATGAACTTTCACTTGGTTCCTTGAGTATGAAAAATTGAAAATTCCAGGCAGCGCAGTTGAAAATTTTATGCAAGGGGACCTTAAACTGCAGTGATCAATTGGTAGTAAGAATTCAATAGTTTGAGATTCTCCCTTTCATGCCCTTTGCTCTAGATACCTGACTTTGGTTGAGCCCTTCTTATGTACTTTACGGAGCAGGGTTTGGTCTATTCCCCTTCCCTCTGGCTTTGATTGTCGAGGGAAAATAAACTCTTATTCTTCTTTTCCCCTCGATACATATGTTTATATATGTCTTCAAGCGTAGGGTCCAGGTACTGGAGTATAAGCTCCATCTCTCACAGTCAATTCTCTAATGTCTTGTCCTTATTCTCTAGTCTTCAGATCACAAGAACTCCTGTAGAGCTATTAATAATAAACAAGGTTCGAAATTGTGTATTGCGTACTTCAGGCGTTTTGGCGTACTGGCAGAGAAGAGATAAGAGAGACGGTGAGGAGACGTGTACATCGCAGCTAAGTAGTTAAATTGCTACTCAGTGGCAACTCGGTCAAGGGCTGAGTAGCTAGTAGGACAAATTATTAGGGATTACTCCGTGATTACTTGGTCCTATGTTAATTTAACTTAAAAACATAAATGCCCCGAATTCTAGTAATATATTAGTCTTATAATTCTTAAATATGAATAAAATAATAAAAATCATATTAATGAAATAGCAACAAATCCCAACAATCATAAACATTCTAACTTCCAAGAAAATCAGTCACCTAATAATACTTAATTCTGAACTTTTGTCCGAAACTAATCTTCATTGGGAAGGTCATCACTTTCTTCTTCATCCTGCATGTCCGCAAACCTAGACTGGCTTTGTAATCTTATTTTCCAATTTTCAGAAGGCCTACTAATTAATCACAATGTCCAAAATATCCCAATTTACTTTAAATTTTTCAGATTTAACTCCAAAAAGTCATTTTACTGGCTGCTGAGTAACTAGGTGAGCCAAACTTGTCGCCAAGTAGAGAAAACCACCGAGTACACGGTGAGTTACTAGGGAACATGGAACATTGCGAGTCAAAGTACTAGTCCACAAGGCCCTCTCCCGAGTAGCGAGGCGATTAGATTACATAGCATAACAGAATACCATTGTTGAATTATTAAAACATATCTGGTTTTAATTAAAACTGGGCCAGATTATTATTAGCCTGGAACACTTGCGCAAATTGTACTGAAAATAAAATTGCTTAAACCTTTCTTCTCAGCATACTGTACGCCTGCCTTACACATAAAAAGTGCAATCCTTACTACTGAGTCAAATTAGTTATTCCTCTCATTGCAAACTCCCTGCAAATCTTAGAGTAGTGCCTCAAGGCTCAATTGCATTGCGCAATTTCAAACAAGTAGATTCATCTAAGACATTATCCCTTTGGGATTTGAAAAACATTCAGTTTTTAAATTTATTTATTTAACATAGAGGATTGATGCAGTCTTCTGAAAAGTGACTTATCTGGTACTGCAGGCGATCAATGCTCAACCACCATCTCTTAACCGTGGAATATGTAAAAGTGTTTTTTGTTTATTATTTACTTTGAAAATACCAAACTAGAGCAAAATAGAGCTTGTACGTCCTTGCATTGATGTAAGAGATGCAATAAAGACTTGAAAATCTACTCAATAACATCGGTAACACAAAATAAAAAATAGGAACAATAATATCAATTGCTATCTAACAGCAGCTAAAAACTTCTGGAGCAATATTCTACCAAATCCCCCCAAAACCATTCTAACAGCGGCAAAATCTGGCTAATCCAATATGGGCTTACAAATCTAGGACCCACTGTTCAGTAAGTTTAATTGAAAAATAAGTTAAACACTCTATCTTTAGCCGTGGAAATTCTGGAAAAAAATTGAAGGAAGCTTGATTGCCATTTAGTGTCCCCTGTGCATGCTAGATTGCTAGTTAAACTTCATGCTAATATATCGATCATAGCTTCTTAAAATGATTTAAGAATTAATAATATAATACTATTAATAAAACAAATAAGATAAATAAAACACAATATATGCTAGCATGATATTTATTTTCAAAACCTTTTGCAATACAAGAATTTTGACTCATTAAAAATTATTGCCAATTGCAATTCAAATCATTAATAGCCTTCCATCGTATCACAAGTGAAATACTCGTGCATAACAGTGACAACCATAAAACTCAAACATCAAATGCTTGAAAATGGAGTAGCAATGGGCAGAGTAGTAATTGAGAACATTACCTTGTTCTGAATAACATCTTTCAATATAGTGGTGATTCTGGCCAAAGTTTCAATCTTTTTTTCCATTTCACTAACATGTGTCAGATGTGCGACGTTTTTGTCCTCCTAAAATTGGGGGGGGGGGGGGGGGGGGGGGGGGGGGGGGGGGGGGAATCATTTTCTAACATCAGTGACAAATACCAATACATGAGATTTTTTTAATTGAAGTTGACAAATTTTGTTTGATCAAGTCACTGGCTCACAGCAACCTTTCAATGAGTATATAACATAATCGAGAAGAATATGATAAACAGCATTATAACTTAAAAGATCAAATTTCAAGATTGCCACCAATCAACTAACTACTCATGGAATTAAAAATTAAGCAACTGATTAAAATATTGGAGGGGAGATTGTCTGACTATGTAAGAAGCCCAACTTTTTTATATCGATCTACATGGGTGTAGTGACTAGCTGGCGTTGAAATAAAGTAGAACACTGAACCTAAAGTTGAAGAACCTTTGCAATAGAATCAGAAAGCATTAATGAAGAAAATAGCGGAGTTTCTTAACAAAAAAAAGACTACATCAGAAAATAAAGTATTTATTGTGTGGTGAGGGATCAAATGCTAGTCTATAAAATATTAAGTAAACAAATTAAAACCCTCAACGTTCATGCAAATGTGATATGTTACTTATATAAATTTAGTAGCCCGCCAAAACTAGATAAAACATAAAAGAGATGTTCTTATTCTAAGGTAAACTCAAAATTAGAACTAAAGGCGCACTCCATATGGATGTAAACACTATAGTAACAATACACATTATCACATTTTAATGATGAAGCCAAAGGGGGGACGTGGTCAATTGGTTAAAGTCAAAATGTCATGTATGTGCACGATTCAAATAGCAAAAAGGTTATTTTGTAAATGGAACCATATGTAATCATGTTCATTTAAGCAACTATTAAAACTGAAGGCACTTATACAATTCCTCTATATTTTGATGTTTTGCTCCTATCAAAGTATACACTGTGGGTAGGAGTAAATTCATCTTTTGGTACCTTGGGAAAACTGGAAAAGTGACACTTCTAATTTTAGGGCCCATTTGGTAACACCGAAATTGGCTGAATTTGCTGAAATTTGAGAAATTCTGGGTGAAGTGGTTGAATTGACTGAATCTGTTGAACTATGAAAAAAATTATATTTAAAACATATTATACTAATAAAATTAAGAAAAAAAAATACATGAAACATATCTGAAATGGTGTTCTACAATAACTTCAACCCTAATCAGCCAGAAAAGTAACTCCTACCTTACTTGTTTTGAATTTTGATTATTACTCAATTCAATGCTCGAAGTCAAAAACTACGTGTTTTGTAAAAAAGATGGTTGATAAGGCTAATAAACTGAAATTATGGATTACCAAATCGGCTCTTAGTTAGAGTTTGATTGCTTTCATTTGTAATCTTTTTACTCTAAACAGTGATTTCTTTTAGCTCGAAATGCCCTCAAATATACAGAGCTCATTCAATATTCATATCAGATTGGGTAGGCACATTATCTGGCTCAGTGAGTAACTGAGTACATAACTAGATATTTCAATTCTACATTCTCACGAGAGTCAAGTCAGTCAAGTCATGAAGCATATTCAGCCTTTATGTAAAGGGTGAGGGTCTCCAGCTTTTTAGACTAAAATGGAGTTATAATTTTGTCAAATTCAAAGACTAGAGGTGAAACACAAGTACACATCGAAGTCAAGAGCTCAAATGGAAATATCACGGTAGTTGAGAGGCCAAAAGGAGAGTTTTCTCATGTGGGTGGTATTTTGCAAGCCATGGTCCAACATATACACGTGCAATAACATGATAGATGATAGCAATATCAGGTATATCACCTTCCTACCCTGAAGCTCCACTTGCAAGTCTGCAATTTTTCTTTGGACGTCAGTGAGCTCCTTCAAAACCCTTATCAAGTCATCACTCTTTTCACCAGAGCCACTGGACAAACTTTGGATCTCCCCCTAAACCACCCAAAATGAAAAACAGAATCACAACCCATTTGAGAACTCCCCTTCACGTGCATTAAAGAAAAGTGCCATTGGACTAAACATAATCCAAAAGGAATTTTGCAAATCAAGAAGATTAAAGCCAAAACAGTTACTGAGCAAATTCAGTCCCATTTTACGATATCTTCACATTCAGCCAAGATTGAGCTAAAGATGAAGCATTTTAGCAACTCTAATCACAATATTAATCGAACATGTAACCCTTAAAGATACATTTACTTTTCAAGCCCAAAAAAATACCAAAAATACCAGTATCAGATGGAGTTACCTGAGACGGAGGGGGAGAGACGGCGAATCCAAGATCAGAGGCAATAGAAAGGGCATCTGACATCCCACCAAGGCGTCTCACTGCTTTCCGTCCAACCCATGTAGAGTCACTTCCCATCATCGAAATCTCTCCCTCCCGGTTTTGTGCAATAATGACGGCTAGGCGGGATACACAAGTCAAATAAAATTGAAGAATGATTTTAGTATTTTAGATTTAGATTTTAGTGTTTTACACTTTTAATTTGTCTTATTTTAGAGTTTAGGAGGTATTTGGATTATTAAACGGTAGAAGTTGGAATGTGTGGATGAAAGTGAAGAAATACTTATTATGCTCTAATTTAATCCAAGAAGTCGTTTTTTAAAAGTTGGGGGAGATACACTTTTGAAAATTAGTTCTGCTTTTGAAAAAGGAAGCAAAAGCAGAACAGTTTCAAATGCTCCTTAACCCAACAAATTCCTCGCTACTCATAGGGCTCATTTGATAGTTTACACATTAAAATTTTACACGTAAAATAATTGTTGGTAAAGTTTAGGATTGTAATTAATTTACACGCAAACTCTTTAACGTGTATGATTGGAAAATAACTACAAAATATTTACAAAAAATTTGCACGGCCGTGCATGTCAAGCAGTCAAGCACAATTTTGTGGCCATTTTGATGGCGCCGTTCACCGCCGGTGGGTGGCCTTTTGTATCTATTGTAACAACGAAGGTAACAACATATCCAAGGTATATATATATACGCATATATATAGAGAAAATATCAGGTCCGGAATTCCGGACCAGAACCTCCGTCCGGATGCTACCGTTTGGGGCGGATCCCGGACGACTTTTTCGATGAAACTTTTATGGCATGTTCTTTATCAAGTCTAGTTTATCCACACAAAAATCAGCTAAAACTCAATCGGGAAGGTCGTCAAATAATTTTTGGAAGTTAATTGTGTGTTATATGTATTTTCCGGCGCATTTACCTTTCAAAACTTATTTGACGGCTATCCCGATTGAATTTTTAGCTGATTTTTTGTGTGGATAAACTAGACTTGATGAAGAACATGCCATAAAATTTTCATCAAAAAATTCCACCGGGAAGGCAGCCAAAAGCCACCGGACGGCACTTCCAGTCAGGAATTTCTGACTGGAACACTACTATATATAGGGACTCGTTCTAATACAAAGTGGTTTTCCCATGAAAAGTAAGAAGTGGTCTAAGCCCTTGATCACTTCAAAATGAATGGAGTGAATCAAAAATCACGTTAGGAAATACTAAACCCAAACGTGCAATACTTAATACTAAAAGTGTATATACGATATGTAAATGTGCATAATTGCTTCATTAAAAAAAGTTACAATTGGATTTTTATATTGCTTATTTTATTTTGAAGCGTGATGCACTTTTACTATCTGGTATTGCACTTTTCCAACACGTCGCTTCACTTTTACTTTAACGGATCCAATAAAAGTTATGCATAATTACCATATTGTCATCGCGTTTTTGCTTTAAAATTTGATCTGATCCTTCCATTTTATCAATTTAAAGGCATATATTAGTTCTTATTTTTCACCTAGGGATCACTTTTTATTTGAACCAATTCATATATATATATATATAGGAAAATTCTCAGGTCCAGCACCTCCCGGTCTGAACGCCGTCTGAACACCTCCGTTTGGGGCACTCCCCGGTGGAGTTTTTGATGAATTTTTTTGAGCATGTTCCTAATCAAGTCTAGTTTATCCATACCAAATTTCAGCTAAACATTCGATCCGGAAGGCAGTTAAATAATTCGTTGAAGTTAACTGCGTTTTTCTATGTATAATTTGGCGCAGTTAACTTCAACGAATTATTTGACTGCCTTCCGGATCGAATGTTGAGCTGAAATTTGGTATGGATAAACTAGACTTGATGAGAAACATGCTAAAAAAATCATCAAAAAAATCCGCAGGGAACCGCCCCAAACAGCGGTGTTCGGACGGTGTTCGGACAGAAAAGTGTTGGACAGGAGAATGACTATATATATATATATATATATATATATATATATATATATATATATATATATATATATATATATATATATATATATATATATATATATGCCAAATCATATCAGGTCGGCCGGACGGCGGTTCCCGTCAGTTTGGGAACCTTCCCGGTGGAATTTTTTGATGAAAAGTTTTTAGTATGTTCTTCATCAAGTCTAGTTTATACATACCAAATTTCAGTTAAAAATTCAATCGGAAAGGAAGTAAAATAAATTCTTTACAAAAAACTGTGATGTTTATATATATAAAGCGCAATTTTTGTAAAGAATTTATTTGACTGCCTTACCGATTGAATTTAAGCTGAAATTGGGTATGGATAAACTAGACTTGATGAATAACATGATCAAAAAAAATCATCAAAAAATTCGATAGGAAAGTGTCTGAAATGTCCTCGGCCGGACGGCGGCCAGTCAGGCCAGCTTGACAGGAAAGAAACTGATATATATATATATATATATATATATATATATATATATAGGGGGGGGAGGGTTCCGGTGAGAATGATGTCCCAGGAGAGAAATAAGAATAAAATCCAACCGTCTATTATCATTAACGAACGATGAAGATTTAATATGAATGGATGATGGCACTCCAGTAATTAGGGGAAACTTTGAGGAAGAATTTTAAGCATCACACCAACGATATTAATGATATGGGCAATATAGTAAAATAATATTACCATGGAACCGTAGCATTAAACCTCCTTCCTTAAAAGTCTCATTGCTTTACTTTTTTCCCACGGTTGAGGCTAATATTTTAGTTATATAATTTGAATCATTAAATGAAATACACATACCATGTTGAATTTTTGCTACTTTCAACTAAAAGCTAATAATTTTAATTTGTTTCGTGTTTACGTTAAACCTTATTTCCAATATTAGTGATGTCATAAAACAACTCGAGTTCATTAAAGTTTATATTGTGCATTTCAGTAATTAAATAAATGCACTTCTATTCAAAATATCTATCATGTTACACATATATACTACATGTAATATAATGAGAGTGATTAGAACAACAATGGTGCACATTTATTTGAATCATAATGCACAATAATATAGTTTTCTAAAAATTATCCATTGTCATTGTGTAAGGCAATTTACTAGAATTATGCATCACAATGCAAAATTAGTGCATTAAGTTATACTACGTATTAATGAGTGCATGTATAATGTTTGATATGCAACATATTTCATATCAAAGTGCAATTATTTAGCCTTAATGTGTGTATTGCTAGACTTCACGTGTACAGTGCGATATATTTTGTTTAAAAGTGTAATGATTTGACATTGATATACTTAACTGACAAAAAATAATAACACTGGAAGCATCGATTAGAAAAAAATCGGGCTCACAAAGTGAAATGAAAAAAATTAAATGTGCATTTGAAGCATAGAAAAAACTGTGCTTTGAATAAAAACAAATTGATACTTTGAATAGGAAAAAAATAGTGCTCTCAGAGTGTGATGAAAAAATTCAAAAGTGGGTATTTAATATTTCGAGAGAATTAATAAAATAATCTTGTAGTGGTTCTCAGATATGAATAATAGTGAAATAGGTTGAAATGGCACTTTAAACGTGAACAGATGACAAAATATATATTAAATAAAAACACATTCTAATGATGTGAAAAAGATAACTAAATAAAAGTGAAGTAATTAATGAAGCCAAGAATTCAGGGTAAGAGATCCGTATACGAATTTGTAGAATGGAAAATCACAAAAGTAACCCCAACGGCTTCACATGATCTAAGGGTGTAGATTTATTATTATTTCTCTCCCTAGATAATATTCTCATTTGAACCTAAACCTATATATATATATATATATATATATATATATATATATATATATATATATATATATATATATATATTAGTTTCATTTGAAGACCTTCCGGATTGATTTTTTAGCAGAATTTTTTGGTGAATAAACTAGACTTCATGAAGACCATGGCATAAAAAGTTCATCAAAAAATTCCACCGGGAAGACGGCCAAACGCCGTCGGACGGATGGCCCCTCTGGTGCACCAGATATATATATATATATATATATATATATAGAGAGAGAGAGAGAGAGAGAGAGAGATAGAGAGAGTAGTTTTTGGTGAATAAACTAGACTTCATGAAGACCATGGCATAAAAAGTTCATCAAAAAATTCCACCGGGAAGGCGGTCAAACGCCATCAGACGGGCGGCCCCTCTGGTGCGGCCGGACGCACCAGATATATATATATATATATATATATATATATATATATATATATATATATATATATATATATATATAGAGAGAGAGAGAGAGAGAGAGTAGTTTTCTGGTGCGTCCGGCCGCACCAGATGGGCCGTCCGGACGACGGCGTTTGGCCGCCTTCCCGGTGAAATTTTTTGATGAACATGTTATTGCATGTTCTTCATAAAGTCTAATTTATTCACCAAAAAATTCAGCTAAAAAATCAATCTGGAAGGTCTTCAAATGATTTTTTGAAGTTAACTGTGCAAAATTACACACAAAAAACGCAGTCAACTTCAAAAAATCATTTAGCGCCCTTCCCGATTGAGTTTTTAGCTGAATTTTTTTGTCGATAAACTAGACTTGATTAGAAACATGCCATAAAAATTTCAATAAAAATTCCAGCGAGAAGGCAGTCAAAGACAGTCGGCCGGACGGCACCTCTGGTGAGGCCGACCGCACATGAATATTACTATATATATATATATATTCAAACCAGTTTAGAAACAACCTTGAATAGTGGAGACGGTGGAGTGAAACGTGGGGTGCGGGAAGAGATTTGATGATTTTGCAGCGTCACTCCATTCTTCAAATTAAAGTTTAGATTCTAGTCATGATTAATAAGTCATTATTATCATGATCAATAAGTCATTATTATCATGATCAAAATAATTTAGAAATCACAGTTATGATTTTTAGATAATGATTATGTGGCTAATATTAATTCCTCATCTTGAGCTAATCACTTATTCAGCCTATAAATAGAGGTTCTTTGCTTCATTGTAAACACACCTTGATTACACCATTAGAACA